GGTGGGAGGGTCTATTTTTGAATTTCCGAGGAGATTTGTCTTTGAAATGAGCGTAACTCACTGGCTCAGTTTCCCACCCGCACCCCCCCTTCCCCACCCCACCCTTTCTTCACTTCGCTGTAAGGGGATAAATAAATAATATTATGTTTATAAAGATGCTGCACTTGTTTATTTTGCTTACCTTATTTTATCAGCTCACTTTTTTTTTCTTCTGTTGCTTTCTTTGATACTGGTTCGGTCTTGCTTGTTGTTGCGGTTTTTGCAATAGACGATGCAATTGATCATGTTGTTGTTGTTGTTGTTGTTGTTGATGTTGTTGTTGTTGTTGTTGTTGTTGTTGTTGTTGTTGTTGTTGTTGTTGTTGTTGTTGTTGTTGTTACACGTCTTGATATCAATGTTATTTTGAATTTGAGTATGTCAGAGAAATATTAAGCTGTTCTGGAAATGCCTTTCACTTGAAAAAAAATATTGTTGTGCAACTCCACTGTTTTCTCCATCAATCCTCCACAAAAGCCCCCCCCACCATATACCTTCTTTTAGCTTCTTTTAGGTTTTTACTTCACTCTTTCGCAAGTAACTGGGAGGAGACACTGGTTGGTCCTTCTTTTTTTCCTATCCATATTTTGTTGCAGTATGCCTGTCTTTCTTCTCCCTACACTTAATGGCCGGTACTGTGTTGGTGTGATTCTACTTACTCAAACAATCTCATTCTTCCGTTTTCCTCTTTTTAAGTCTTCAAGCTAACTAGTTCTGCCTTCTCTCTTGGTTATTGTCCTCCTATCTCTAACTCCTTTGCATCATCGTCCTTGCCCTCCTCCTTGTCGTCATCGTAGTCCTCTTCCTGAATATATGCAAATACGTGAGATTTTATTTGCTGTTTTAAGAAATTACAAGAAAAAATAGGCACTCAAGTAAAGTAAACACTGCTGGAGAAAAAGTGGGGAAGAGTGGGGGAGCGAGGGGAAGATAGGAGGAGAGAAGAGTGAAGGGGGAGGGGGGGGGTGGGCAGAGAGAGTGATATTGTGTGACAGGATGGTTATGACAAAGGTGAAAGCGCTTTTGACATAAGAGACTGCAAGCTGAGAGCCGTCGTGTCGTGTTTGCACTAAACCCTTCAACACAAGCTGGGTGAGTCCGTGCTATCTGCTGCTGCTGCTGGCCTTGAAAGCGCACGTGACGTTGGGGTTTCAGTTTCAGTGGTTCAGGAATGTGCGGAGAACTCGAATCGAAGCTTCATTATAGTTTGATTTGTTGATCTGACAGTGTGAGAAAGAAATACTAAAAAAATGAGGTTTGAATTGCAGAGGTAGCAAGGATTTGATTTTTAAAAATCCACTGGGCCACTGATATGAGACGACGTATATGCAGTAGGGTTTATATAGTATAATACATTTTTTCTCACAATGTTAGTAATAAGGCTCTCGGACTCGCAACCGTAAGGTCGTGGGTTCGAATCCCGTCAGGGACCCGACGTTGTGTCCTTGGGAAAGGCACTTTACACGAATTTTCCTCACTTCACCCAGGTGGGAATGGGTACCCGGCTATAGACAGCGAAA